GAATTTAGTTACTTTTGATGGTAAATCTATTGATGTATTAGGGACTATTAGAATTCCTGTCCAGTATAAATATCAAACTTTAGATCAGTTTGAGTTTTATGTTACTAGATCTGGTACTAGTTTAATGGGTCTGGATTTGTTTAATAGATTAGGTTTTGAACTGTCTCATTATGGTGAAAAAATTCAAACTGTAGCATCAGATATATTACAAAAGTACCCAACAGTATTTTCAGGTTTGGGAAGGATTAGAAAGTTCTCACACAACCCACAGGTGTTAGAACATGTTTCACCTGTCTCTCAAAGGCTTAGACGTCTACCATTTTCTGTCCGTCAAGAAGTCTCTACTGAACTTAAACGTTTAGAGGACACAGATATAATCGAACGTGTAGATTCTTCGACATGGGTTTCGAATTTAGTTGTGGCAAGACGTAAATCGGGAGAAATCAGACTTTGCATCGATCTTAAAGATGTTAATACAGCTATTGTTCCTGATAAGTATCCTCTACCGACAATGGAAGAATTGTCAGCAGAATTCTATGGATCTACTGTGTTTACTAAATTAGATCTTCGTAGATCTTATCTACAAATTCCTTTGGCGGAATCAGCTAAACATTTAATGCATCTTTATGGCCATCGCAAACACAACAACCCGGTTCGTAAAATTCACTAACCGTTTCAACACTAGGCAATATCATTAGAAACTTTAAATACTGGGTACTGTCATTATGTAATATCATCAATATAGTTAAATGTCAATATTAATTTGATAAGGTAATCATAATCTTAGTTCGTGACTATTTGACATTTCTGATTTGGGACAGATGCAAGTTTTTGTGCTAAAATTTTTAATGCAGAGAAAATCAAGCCAAGTTGATGTTAGATATGATAACTAGGTTTAGTGTTTATCCTTTTAGATGTAATTTCTCTATTTTCACCAGAGTACATGGTTGTAGTGAAATACTGAAACATATACATGAATGGACTGTTAAGAATATAGATTGGCATATTTATGTCAAAGAATGTTTATCTTGGCTATTTTTTCAACAGAGATTCTGATGGGCTAGCTTATCTCATCTTGAATGGCAATCTACTGTAATGGTGAAGACTAATTTCTTTGATCTGAAAATAGATTAAGAGAAAGGTAACTAAGAGTCAAAGAACATCAAGTACATATGATATGATGTGATACACCCTAGTAAAAATGTTAGCTGTAGAAGCTAACTGGTTATTTTAGTGATATTTCTGGTTTTAGGCTAAATAGTCATTCATTTATACTACTAGCAGTAGCAGTTCTACAGTATATCAGTTTAAACTATAGTTAGAATATTATCTAACTGTGAGTAAAACTGATAAACAGCTGCACTATTTAACGATATTGATATATCAACAGCTTTCTGCAATATGTATTCTTTATTATTTCCTTCATTTAAAAAAATGTTGTGAATTTATGGATTTCTTCATTTTTACTCTAGTGTTCTAGCTATAGTGTATTCTTATATAATTACATGTTATAATGCTGTGAAATCTGGTTGAAGATAATATAAAATTATTGTAGTATGTGTTTGTTATGTTTAAAATGGAGCTTAGAAAGTGTTACATTAATAGTTAAATTTTCAATTAAAGTGATGCTCTGAATGAATGTGAAATAGGACTAACTAAATGACTATATATTGCAACTGATTACCAGATGTTAAAGCTAGTTAAATATAAGGTATATCTGTTAGACTGTATAATCTATTGACTAGTGGATTAACCTTTCATTGGAATTTCTTATACCTTGACTAAAACTATTCATTGATATGTACAATAAATGGACAAATCTTAAAGAAGAAACCTGCCTCAAAACTAGCCTGACAATGATATTTTGGTCTCTTGTGGGCTGGTGTAGTGTCAGATACGTTAGGCATAGTAATGTGATGATTTCCCGTAATAATATTGGTCTATTTATAATAAATTAAGTCAATTAGCCGTTGTCAGGTTTCAGAGTTTATGTCAACTGTTCTGGAAAGTGAATGGAAGACTAAATATCTTACATTGTTCAATGGTAGGCCCAGTTTTAGTTTGTGAAGCACCACTTTAAAATAAATTCTTGGAATTACCCACATTTACCTTGTTTTTTATCATACCAAATCAATATGTGAGAAAACTTGCTTGTTTTTTTTTATGTCCATATGATCCATTAATATCTTTAAACAGTATAGGCTTACACACTATTTACTGGTAATATATCTGGTATTTCCTCTTATATTCTCTTATATTCTCTTATAATTCTCGATAATCTTCATGATTCATAGTCTTTAAGGCCACTGTTTAATTCCTCGAATTTTAAACAAGTCTTATCAATATTCAGTGCAATACATGACAACTCTTATTCATCGAGTCATTCAGATATCCTCCCAGTCCTTAAAATTATTGTTGCTGATAAATCATTTGTTAATTAAGAGTTTGACCTCAAACAATATATTATGCAGAAGGTTTAGAAACAGTTAAATTTCTTCAAGGATCTGTGCCAATTTGTTTTTGTCATCTTTCTAGGCCATCTTGTTTGCAGACAATTGACTAATCTTGTCAACAACAATACAATAATCAACTGTTTGAATATCTGTTTATATTTGACAAGCTAGGTTTTCTTCAGTTTTTCTACATTCTTGTTCATTCAAGTTGTCCTATTGATACAGTTATAAAATGGCTATATCAGTGTCAAACACAAGCCAGACTGGTCCTGCAGGTTGCATGATGTGTATGATTTTAAAAATTATAATAAGTAAAACATATGATTTGATATAAACAAGAAAGGTGACTTTATAAACAGTTTCTTTACAAGTATTAACATTTCAGAGTTTGCTTTAGTTGTATTTTGAAATGTGAAAATTAAAAAAATGTGAAAATTTAAAAAAAATATGTAGACAAAAACAGTGTGAAGGCAAAGTTTACTATGTAATGCTTTTTTCTTTATTATGAATTTAGGATTTAATATATACTTGGTGTTATTATATGTGTGCATGGATTATTTTAGGAATTATTGCTGTGTTACATTGCAAATTTTATATATTTTATTCATATTGCCTAATGATATGTCAGAACAGTTATAACTTCTTTGTGTTTATCTTTTCAGATTCACCAGAAGAGAAGAACAAAAGTCTTCCAAGATTTAAGGTTTTAGCAGATGAGTTGCCACCAGGAGCACCAGGAGCACCAGAATATCATATATTAGAAGAAGATGAATATTCACTGGAACAGCCCTCTAGATTGTCACAGCCATGTGAAGGCACAGTGTCTAAATTAATGGCTGCATTTCAGAAAGGTATCAAGGATAAATCAACTTTAGATAAAAACCAGAACCCTACAAGTAAAGATACTAAGAAGATTAATAATCATGACACATTGGACAATATTCCCAGTACTGCACAACACATAGATGATAGACTTCTGTCAGGATCATTTGATACAGTGGCAGGCAACTCTATGGACATTGACTCAAGTCACCTATATAAACATATAGATAAAATATATGATACACCACCAAGTACACCTGTATTAAGCTGTAAACAAGGCTATGGTGCTCCAGTGTCTGTTAAACTCTTAGATCCACCTGTTTTAAAGGCTAAAGCTGGCAAGGGTGATGGATCCTATGATCATATTGTGTTTGATAAACTGAATATACATGAAAGTTTTGAAAATTCTGGCACTACTACTGCTGGTGATACCAATCCTCTTGAATTAAGTACCAAATCAAAAACAGGTTTGTTCATTACTTTTTAGTGGTGATTGTTTTCTTGCTTTATCAGCAAAATTTTGGCAACTGGTTTTAGGCATTTTAGCCTAAAAATACACAATGTTTATATAGAAGTATATGAGAATTGTGATCATTTTCTTACATGTATTTCTTGGGTTCTGTCTTTGTATTAATATTCATTCAGATAAAATAGTATCAAAGTGAAAAACACAAAATAGTTAATAAACCATATTTTGAAGAACAGAAATATTATAAAATTTAGGAAGTAGAAAAAGAAGAAGAAGACAACAGGCAGATAAGAAGTCTTCAACAGTAGGAGACCCAATTGATCTAGATAAAAACATGGCTGACCCTAGTTTCTTACATGATGGTAAGTTGTGAAATTTTAATCTAAACCATAGTGATACACTAGAATCAGGCAGATTGTGTATTGTAAGAAGGGTTGTTTATGAATTTTATGAAGATATTAACAGTTTTGTGAGTGGAAAATTTTGCTTAAATAGTATTTTTCAACATTATTGATGTCTGCTAAATCAATGAGTTTATTATATTGATGAAAGATTTGTCTGTCTTGAACAATAGGAGTACAAAAACATTATTCTAAAAGTTTTATGAAATAAACTAGTATGTCCATTTTCCAGATTAAATGTATTTTTTGGTCATTTTTAGATAGTAAAATATATGATGAACTAGTACTTAATAGTGAAGATGGTGATGATTATGAAAATGATGGTTGGGGATCATCAGAATTTGAAGAATATAGTGATGAAGAAGAATCAACAGATACTATTCATCCTCACAAACCATTACCAATGAAACCAAAACCAAGACATGAACCAGGGGTAAGAGATATTAATATTTACATGATAATACTGGAAAGAACGTAACTTTCCAATTGTGAACCAAAGTAATTTACATATCCGACTATTAATCTTTCAGCTTACACACTGTAGAGCTCTGGAGGTTATGACACTTATAAGTTATAGATGTATAATTAAATGCACTCAGGACACATGGCCACTCTCATTGATTGTCCCATAACGAATCAGTTGAGGTTTACAAAGCAGTAGAAAAAAGATGTGCACCTAGACTAATTAACCCTCAACAGTGAATAAAGCAATGCGGAAGAAGGTGGAAAGTATGAAAATGATTCCCTTGATGCATGGATCGTATGATAATATTTGACTAAATATAGGCACCAGGTATCATCAGTAGAATACGAAGTTTTCGAGGTAAAAAAGATTCAATAGAAGAAGAAGAAGGCAGATGTTTCCCAGTTGATATTGATCCAAATAAACATCCCCCACCAGAGTTACCCCCCTTACCAGATGGCTTGTCAGAAAATCAGGTACGAATCAGTTCTTTCAAAGTTCTTGCTTCTTTTAATTATTAGGCTATTATGGAACAATATTATTTGAATCTCCATTTATTTCATTTAGTATTGGAATGTTAAGGAGGCCCTTAAAATTAGACATTCGCTATAACTGAAACAATGAATCAAGATCTCAACAAAAATAAATATTCTGAAAAGTAATTACATAAGAAATCATTATAGTATTGTTATATTTTATATTTAGAAAAAAAGGCGATGTGTTATAGAACAGATTATAAGTAGTGAGAAATCTTATATAAGTTCATTAGAAAGAATCATTCGGGTAAGTTAATTTTCAGTCTTATATGACATATTTGATAGATATTTGATTTGATTTGATTGATTTTTTTTTGTTTCTTATTTCTTTTATGTGCAATCTATAGCCTAAAATCGATATGGAAACACATGCATGCTAGTTGATTAGATAGTCGAAATTATTCTTGTCTTTATTTATGAAAAGAGACCTTCAAGACATGACAATTTGGTGATATCAGTAACAGTGAAAGTAAACATCAATCTATATGTATTTATTTGAGGAATAATTTCATCGCTTTTCTTTTAGAATAAGAACATCTTGTTTTTCTGACTTATTCAGATATAACTATTTATTACTAGGGATATGAAAGTGTAGTGTTAGATCTATTAGGTGGTGTTAAAAGTAATACCAGAACAGTATTTAAGGAATCTAGAGAGATATTAAGTCATCATCAAATGTTCCAAATAGAAATGGCAGACAGAGTTAAAAAATGGGATGAAGATGAAAAAATTGGTGACATTTTTACTGCTTCTGTGAGTTCATATTATTACTTGTGTAATTGACCAAATCTTTTTCATTAGATTCAAAGAATCATAAAACTTGCCCAGAACAAGTGTTCTTTATCAGCTGTTGCATATTTTGATATCTTGACAGTCGCCCTAAATGAATTGAAAAATTCTAAATGGAGTTGAAAAGAATAAGTGCTCTTCTAGCTAGTCTCAAGTATTTGACAGAAATTTGGCTTCCAGGTAATACTCAGAAACATTTGTGTTCATGTCTTATTGAATTTATTATGTGTTATTTATTTTCAGTTTTCTAAATCAATGTTAGTAGATGCCTATAGTGTCTATGTTAATAATTTTGCTGTAGCTATGGAAGAAATCAAATTATTACAGAGATCTCGACAAAGTTTCAGAGAATTTCTGAAGGTACGTATCATTCAAAAAAATTTGATTTTGCAAGCTGGTGGATTGTAAAAATCAGTTGATGGTATTTCTTTATAAAAGTTAGTGCCTTTCCTTGTTACTTAATTGGGTATGATAATCCAAATATTTGACTTTGTGATGGATAGTGGAAGATCAGAAAATATATGCTTGTTCATTGAGGACATCTTTACATCTTTCCTTTAATTTGTTTAAAATTTATGTAGTTTCAATAACCACAACAAGATATGTATGATATCCAAAACTTAGGCATCTAAACAATCCTGTTTTTCATTGATTTGACAAACAAATGAATGAAGTATTTTATATTGTAGTTAAAAGAAAGTAGCAGCCCAGATAGACTATCAATTTTTGGTTTAATGGTAAAGCCAGTACAAAGATTTCCACAGTTTATTATGTTTCTACAGGTAAGTGTTTCCAGAATTATTCATGAACTTGATATAAACTCAATGATATAACATGACTTCCTCTTTCAATAACTAATCCATGAACAAGGAAAGAATTTAAAGGTAGAAGCATGCATAAACATTTTTACAATTTTTTTTGTGCAATTTAATTGCAAGTTATGTTTTTTTTAATTAATTTTCAGGATTTAGTCAAATATACCCCACAAGATCATCATGATAGACGCTCATTACAATTAGCTTTAACAGAATTAGAAAATGTAACACATAAACTAAATGAAAGAAAACGTACGAGTGAACAAACATTTCAAGCTAAACAGATAACTAATCAGTTGTTACGTCAAATAACAAAACAAGTACCACCACGATATTTACCTGATAAAACTAGAAGATTAATCAGACAAAATGATTTTGAGCAAGTTGTAAGTAGATTTTATCTTAAATTTCTTTTAGAAAGGCTATATGGAGTTCTGATATCTATATCGTATTTTGGTGATGAGACATGTGTTGTACTTAATGCAATAATTTATGTAATAATATTATGTTTATAGGTAGGAGAATCTGGAGGTGAAATGAGAGTAAAAACTAGAAGGTTGATTCTGTTTGATGATACATTATTATGTATTAAAGTTGGTATCAAGTAAGGAATTATTATATTTTAATTCAATGTAACTTAACTGAATTTGTTGTTGATAGATATATTTGAAAGTTATCTGCTAGTGATAGCTAACTGGGTCAGAACCATGGTTCTTCACAAATTTATTTCCCAGCTTATGATAAATTGATTCTCAAGTGTGACATGTTGATCATTAATAAAGTTAGTACTGCTGGCTTTATTTTCTTTATTTTCCAGAATATAACTGTAAGAGGTATGAGTAAAGATTGAGATTTATAGACCCATGTACATTTCACAATAGTCTATCTTACCAAAATAAATAAATGTTTTGAATTTAGTGCCCATTCTGTTTATCATTGTTATCTTTCAGAGATGTTGATGGATTTTTGACTGAGAAATTTAAATTAAAATGGGTAATTAATCTATCTGATGTTGATTTAAAAGATAGTGCAATAACACCTAATATGGAGGCTTCAGTTGCAGCCCATCCTGGTAAATTTAGCATTTGGTCCACACAAATAGGTAACTTTCAAATTCTCTGTATTAGTTTTATCTTTTCTTCTCTTGACTTGAGCTATCTTCAACTAGATATCTTTAATCTGTCGGTTTTATTTGTACACCTTTGGGAGTTTTCATAACACCTCTTAAGATTTACTATATTCTACTGTCACCAAGTATTGTTAAATGTTATGTATATTACTTTTGAAAAAGTACATTATCGCTAGTATTTAAAATTAATATTATGTTTGATATACATACAGAAAGACCAGAAGAAGATCCCTTCCACCTGTATTCAGATTTAAGTGAAATTTTACATGATTGTACTGTATTGGGACAGATGAGTGGATTAATGGCTTCATTGAAACGATCTTATCAGGTATTGAAATCTACATTATATTTAAAGCCTATTTATGGACAAATGAACAAAGGTAGAATCATGTACAGGGTTTTCATAGAATACTGAGCAGTTTGTACATAAAACAAAAGCAGTTTGAAAATCATCGCAACTGTTCTTGCATATTTTCTCTCAATTTATTCAGACGATGGAGTGCCAAGAACAGAAATGTTTGAGATGTAAAAATACTAATATTGATGTTCTACTAATACTGATGATTTATTTTACTGTATTTATAGGGTTATGGACTATCAGAAGATTTATTACTTGAAATTGTTCGTGATCTACAGAAAATGATTCATATTAAAGATGAACAATTGAGATTAGTTAATAGTTGTTCTTTTATATTAGCTGATAAATCTAGTGTCAAGTAAGCTTAGTCTCTCTGAAGGAGAATTTTTTTATTATTTTGTGCCATTGTTGTTTACATTCGGTTGACTACAAGGACTAATTTCATCTTCTTCAAGAAGAGTTCCAGCATACCAAGATTCCATTTACACTACAACTGAAAAACCGTTTTTAGACAATTTGAGTTTACTGTAATATATATGGGCATATTTTATTGCAGGTCAGGACAACGAACAAACCTTTTTTAGTGGACTGGTTTTCAAGTAACTAATATTATAGAATGAGAGAATTGAATGTTCAAGTCTTTTTTCTCAGTGGTTGTTTCCTTGCAGTTTAAGTGTAAAACATTATAATTCAATATATTTTTTCTGTATTTTTGGAATTAATCTTAACATTTGTAAATAAAAAGTCAAATTCCATTGTTTCTTTATGAATTAATAGATTTATCATTATTTACAGTAAAATGAAGTATGTATTTCAAACACCAAGTCCAAATTTAAAACAAGAATGGTGTGTAGATTTTATTATGGCTAAACTAGCTTTAGGTAGGTATTAGTCTTTGCTATGATAAAGATTTTCATGATGGTAGAACTTAAGATTATCAGTCACATTTGATATTGTTAAAATAAAAATTAAATGAATTTATTTTGTTTATTTTCAGATAAATGTAATAATCCAGGTTGGGAGATAGGACAACATAGTGAAGAAAAGAGTCTAGTACCAGCTTACTTCATGAGATCACTATCTGTTGATGTTCCTCGAAATTTCACTAAGGTAGGATTTTACTCCTTGAAATATTTAATGTGTTCTTATATCTAGTCCTTAATTCATAGTGCCATTTGACTGGGTTTTTTGGTTCCACAAAACTCACTGTGAACAACTCTGACAATTTCTTCATTTTTATGTGATTATTTGGTATAAAATTTGTAGAAATTACAAATCACAAATTCCCATGTCATATCTCCACTCTCTCTCTTGTTGTTATAATATTTCGTACTGTCTATATTTTTGATCACAGGTAAAATGTGCTGTTCCTGTATTTGTGCCATCAAGTTCCAGTACAGATCTAGGTGTTCAACATCTCTGGGTGTGTTCATCTAAAAGTGACCGTGGTCAAGTATCAGTCATATCTATACATAATCCTAAACCATGTTTAACAGAATCATTTAAAGCTTCTGATGTAGAAATAGAATGTATGGTATCTGTACCAGGACTAGGATCTGGATCTCTTAGTACTACTACATCATTTATAGAAGATACTGTTTGGATTGCTACTGTTAAACCAGAGTATGTTATATTTATATCTGATATTATTGGTAAAATGTTCAACTACCATAATATTCTCAGGAGTGGCTCAGTCTCAGTTAATGTTCTCTAATTATCTATCCAAACAGAAGTCTTTTGTTGGATTCAGTAGGATTCTATCTATCTAGGTCATGGAATTTTTATTTATCTGGACACTTTATAAGAGCTATTGGTATATAAAGTTTGGAATGTATGCCTGTATATTATAAAACTTGTAATGAAGTTATTGGTTATTTATAATTTATAAAATATTCCCACCTTGAAAATATAAAATTATTGAATATATTTCGGGTTTTCCTACAAAGAGAATTATTATCTTTTTTCAGATTAGTTATTTTTAGTTTAATACCTGATGATGGAATGAGAAGATCACCAATAACTACCATACCTTTACCTCATCAACCTAGTTTAATCATCTGTATAGAGGAAAAGGTTTATTTAGGTTTAAAATCAGGTGTATTATTGGTGTATAGTTGTGATGATGGTAAGTTATGATTAAATTAGAAATGAATACTGTCTGATTATCTTATACAATTAACATTTGCTTAAATTAACTGTATATGTGGCCAAAATCACTTCTTCAAGTGACAAAAGTTCTTGGAATAAACTGTTAAACTACAATAATAAGATATTTTCACTGTTAAAATAGTGCTCAATAGCAGAGTGATATAGAGATATTCAAACAGAACCTGAAACATATTGTTACTCATTCTGTGGGATCCTCAGACAACAGACCTATTTCAACCTGCAAACCCTACTGAAGTTTGACAAGTAATACTTGTTGAAGATTGAAGTACATGAATCTCTTAAGTAACAACATGTTTCAGGTTCTGTTTTAATAATATTTCTATATTTGTAAACTGTTTAACTTTTTTGATCCAGTGTATAATCTCTATATTAATAGATGGTGTATGGGATTTTAAATCTCCAACACAAATAGAGTTTGGTAGTACACCAATACGTTGTTTGTTAGATATTGATGGTTGTTTATGGGTAGCTTGTGGTTGTTTTGTACATCTTTTAGATATAGATACACTCAATGTTACTGTAAGTATTTACAATAGACTTCTATACCAGTATACATCCATGATATGGTAAAACTAGAAACCTTTGTTAGCTTACCATGTCATATCATTTCTCATTAATATAAATATAACAAAAGTCAAAGTTAATAAACTTGAAAGCCATGTTTTCAGGCAATATTAACCTAAGCAATAAGCATTCAAAGCAAAAGATAAAGGAAACCAATAAGGAAAATATCAACAGATATTAGGGCACAAGTAATACTGTCACCAATCATAATATAACCCAAACCATTTTTCATGTGTTACGCAATCAGACCTATTTGTTCATAATTTGGCTATAGTTAACAACTATTTATTATCGTCAATAGTTTCATTTTTCATCATGTTGTGTTTTTGAGGTACAATGTGTTTCCGAAGTTTTTTCTGAAATGAAATTTCTGGATTGTTGTCTTTTGTTTCAGCAAAAACATGAGTTAAGTGGAGAGAAAGATATACATATAGATGATATAGTTCGAGCTGGTGTTGGTATTTGGGTATCATTTAAAAACAGACCATATATTAAACTATTCCATATTGAAACATTAGAATTATTACAAGAGATTAATATAGCATCACCTATTACTAGAATTATAGGTTGATACATCATTCTTTATTATTATTATTATTATTTATTAACACAATATTATAAATCAGACATGTTTGAAGAGAGATATATTTTAGTTATCCCTTTTAATTTGAGATGTCATTATACTCAAGTCATAATATTTTAGTGATTAGCAATGTCATTGATTGGGTCAGATTTCTAAAAGATCTTCTGTTGATATGAGTATTACAATAAAAACTGTCATTTTACTTCCATAGAGTTTGAAATAAGCCAAACTATAATGAAACTTTTAAAGTGCACTGTGGAAAAAATTGTCCAATTTGAAAAATAGTTTCTATCTGTTTATTTTTCTCTTTCAGATAAACAGAAAGTGACCAGTGTACCAGAAGATTATGTTAGATATTGTTATGTTAGTTGTCTAGCTGCAGGACGCGGAATGTTGTGGATTGGTACAAGTCTGGGTTTTATATTAACCTTACCATTACCTAGGTTACGTGAAGGTGTGCCTTTAGTAAACAGTAGACCAAGTGTCTCGTATCATGGTCACAATCATCCGGTGAAATTTATTATACCAATTTACTGTTCTTCTAGTGTTACTCAGTTGGAAAAGAGGAGTTCATTCCGATCTTCTATTAGACCAAAAATGAGAAAAAATTTGAAAAAGGCTCAGACACTATTAGAGGAGCCAGAAACTGTTCCAGAATCTTGTGTTGATGATAAAAATGAAGCCTCTCTTAGTCAATCTAAAATTGACCTCACTCGTAGATTGAGTGATTCACGTTCCCAAATTACAGAATCAAAACATAAAACTCTCCCTGCTCGCAGTCAGAGACTCTCATTTCGAACAGAATTGGCTACAAAAATTGCTTCTCAAGAAACGTCCAATTCTGATCCAGATTTGTTTTCAGCTGAAAGGGAGGTTCAAATGTTGTATGAAACTTTATTAGAGAATGAAAATAGTGAAGTTAATGGACCTCAATTTAAAAGACTGTCATCAGAATCACCATCATCAATAGGGGAGGATCAAGAAACTGTCAATACATCTGCGAATACAGGAAGCGATGTCAAACCACGTAGAAAATTAACACAGGAAATTCAGAATGAAAAATTAAAAACTGTAACAATTTCTGGGAAAAGTCTACGGAAAACAACAACAAATTCTGTGATAGTTGTCAGTGGTGGTGATGGATATACTCGCTGGAATTCTTCTAAAACTACTTCCATTAAAAATGAAGAGGCTGTTCTTTTACTGTGGATTTACAAATTCTAGTTATGAATTTATATTTTGTATACTACATACCATTTACTGTAAGGATCAATAACTTAACAGTATTTGTTGATATATTAAGATTAGATTGTTAATAATCAAACAGAAAATAGTGAATTAATTCTGTTCTATGAATGTTGTAGACAAAATGGATAATGTGAATCATGAATGTTTGTGTTAATATGTTTTCAGTTCTGGAAATGAATTGAATAATGAAAATATATTATAGAAGTACTCTCATTGCTTAACAAGTTAAATTTATGTCACACGCACACACGAGCCATCAGTATAGGCAGAATTTATTCGTGCACTTCTTTGTGTTGGAAAATTTGTAATGGTTTCGTTACCCATACACACACATAAGCATTCGTGAACAAAGTTATCAAACGAGGTTGTTTTTAATTTTGCGTTAAAAAAAAAATGTCTGAGCAGATGGCTCGTGTGTGTGCCAGACTTAAGGTGCATATTTTTATTTTTATACATTTCATACATGCCATTTTACGCTCATTTATGTTGTATTTAGTTTTTAATTAATCTATATTCTAGATCTCAACAAGGCAGTACAATGGCTACTCATATTAACAGTAGAATGTTAAACTCTATATAATTCTGTATTCATTTACTGAACCTATACATATTATGTCTTTATTTTTTTATAGTTCTATGAATTTATTTATATTTCTTATTTTTCCTGTTAATTTTTTGCACCTTAACTGTGATGAAATAGTTCTAATCTCAATATATTTTGGCAAGTATTGAGTATGATGATGTATGTACAAACCTAACGACTTTTAACTTTATTACAAGCTTTATAGGCTGATTTAACATTATGAAATAGTTGCTATAATTTGGTATTTAATTTATTAATTTTGTTACAGTATAAATCTATTCGTTATAAAGTGTATCAATAACTAAATATAATATTGTCTTTAATTTTATACTTTTACACTTACCATCCCTCTGTCTGCTTTCTCTTTTCTTTATAAATCCATAACATATCTCTATGTGGGCAAATATTGGCGGCAGCCATGTCCAACAGACTGTTAACAATTCTGTTTCAACGTTCTGGGATCTATTGTTTTTAACTGATTAAATTAAAACGGAAAATATGTAAGATGAAGATAAAAGGTTTAGAATATTAAGCCTTGTCATACTAACTCTTGGGTATTGATTATGCTACAGCTTTCAATCAATTTTCCCCAAATAATCCAGTACTTATATGAGCAAATAAATAAAGTTTGGATAGCTGTTGATTTGCAGAAATGGTGTGATAAGCATTAATCATAAATTGGATATGGATTGGTCTGACATTGATTGATTATTGATAGTGAGTAGATTTCAAGTACTACTCAATAGGGTGAACTGTTTTTAAACACAACTCATCACAGACAATTTCTGAATTAGTAGATCATTGATAGTGAGTAGATTTCATGTACTACTCAATAGGGTGAACTGTTTTTAAACACAACTCATCACAGACAATATCTGAATTAGTAGATCATTGATAGAGAGTAGATTTCAAGTACTACTCAATAGGGTGAACTGTTTTTAAACACAACTCATCACAGAAAATATCTGAATTAGTAGATCATTGATAGTGAGTTGATTTCAAGTACTACTCAGTAGGGTGAACTGTTTTTAAATACAACTCATCACAGACAATTTCTGAATTAGTAGATCATTGATAGTGAGTAGATTTCAAGTACTACTCAGTAGGGTGAACTGTTTTTAAATACAATTCATCACATACATGGTATTAAGTTCCCTGTAGCTTTGAGCATTTGTCTTAGATTATGCGTGTGGAGATATGGAATATGGTTTAGGTATTTCAAAAGCAAGTGAGGAAACCAAGAATCATGCAAATTTGATAGCTGTGGCCAAATTCAATGAATGTTGAGACTTTCTTGTAATTTGGTTGAGCTCTATACATGTCTTGCGATTGTAGATAAGCTATATTCAGGTTTATATATGTTATACATTATAACACTTCTTTTGTAGTCAACCAAAGACATAAATTCTGATTTAAAAAGAAAATAGTACAAGCAAAATGTCAAAAAGCATTTTATTTTTCTCTGCTATGAGACAACATATTTCTAACATTATTTCATCACAGACATGAGTTATCTTCCCTTTAATACAAAACTCTTCAATTGTAAGTCCTGAAACTCAGAAATTTGAACAAATAATTTCTTTAAAATCAATCTGGTAAAATGTATTTCTGAATATCTTTCAGGGTAACAGTAAATTGAGGTATGAGAATATGAACAAAAACACTTTTAAAAAAATATTCATAAACAAAACAATCATCAATCTAAAAAAATATATTGTTCCGAACCAAACATATTGCCTGCACCTTTAAATGACTAAAATTGATTGGTAATAAAAACTGATAAATGCTGATGTAAACTAAATGGGACTAAAGTAATAACGTAAAATATGTCAATTTAGAACTCAAATATAAATATATTTAAAGCAAACAATTTCATGTGTTTAAATCAATAAGTAACACTGACACTTCAAATTACAAATAATTTTTTAATTTGATACATCCAGTAAGATATCACTACTGCTTTCATTATTTAAATATTATATTATTTTTATAGGCAGGAGAAAATGAAAATAATAATTCTAATATCAACAGGTTTCAGATTCACATAATAAAATATAAAACAAATCTATAATAAACATGTATTATAAGATTGAGTTTATAACAGTAAAATATATTGCATGTGTTTTAAATCATAAAAATTTATTAAGACACCTGGCTGGCACTATTGGATAGCTCTGAACAGGTTCTGTCTGTTCCAGTTATGCCCCTACTCGAACAGTATGAAAGTGGATTTGTCACATCCAAAATTTTCCCGTCTCTGCTGCTTCCAATACTGTCTGCACCTGCTATTTTTAACAGCACATATGGAATGAGTTCTGTTCCAACTTGTTATATTTTATTGTTAATTCTATAAATCTTGAATCTGCAAAACTCAACAATCGAGCAGCCCGTTTGATAGAACTTGATATAAGTTCAAAGGAGCCATACAACAAAAGTTCATTTACCATGTGAAAATCTAATTAAAGTCACATAGGATTAAGTTACGACTTTAAACAAAATAAAATAAGTCAGACTAACATTAGTCTGATACAATTTAGTAAAAAAATTAAAAATAAGAAGAGATTTGAATGGATCAAGCTTTGTAATTCAAGATCTAAGTTATTGGGAAGAGGAGGGAGTGAAAGTGAGAAAGGAGGGCCCTATGAAACAAACTAAGAAATGAGTTGTACCAATTATGTTAACATTGGTCTGAATATTAGTAACATATATACAGTAACAATTATAATAACATAAATCTTAGATATTTTTAAACAACCACATTATTTCTTTCTTTCCAAATTAACAAATAAAATACTAATAAAACTGAACTCAGATCTACCTTTAATATAGTTTTGTGGAATCTTAGTCTTTGAGTCTTAAGTATCAGGCTATTATGGAATAATGTAAAATAATAGGAAATAATGTGGCTGAACAAAAATATCTTCAAAAAGACCAAGATATACTCTTACTTTACTCTAATATCAATCTTATTCAAAATACCATGTCTTCTATTTCTTTTTCGTGATATTGTCTCCATTTAAATCAAAAAAGTTTTCAACTGCAGTAATGTTCTAATCATGTTTTTTAACCAATTAAAATGTGTAGTGTAGAACCTGTTTTTTGTCGACAATGTTGAATTATTGGATAGTGACACCCAAAAAAGCTGTCATTTTGCTCTACCATATAGAAATAATTTTTAAGTTTTCCTTATAATTTAACATGAAATACTAAATAAATATTGAGAATATGGATCAGGGAATTCTAACTGAGATTTCACAAAAAATTGACTTTAAATTGATCAAACACTAGTAGAAAATATCTTGGTCTTTTATTAGCACTGATTTGAAACACTCAACAATACATATAATTATTTATACACTGGATTTATAGTATATGTAGTTATAGACTTCAACATACATAGATTATGGTTAGCTTATCTTCAAACTTTTTATAATTCAAATTGAGCAATACATATTTACTTAGACTTCAAATTGGGGAATTCCTTATTAATAATTTAGAATGAGAAAATCTAGTGACAATTTCATAAAATTTGAAAATTGTTTTACAATTTCTACGCCAAGAGGTTTAGTTCTATAGAATATATTAAGGTATTATTCGGATAAAAGGTAATTTGACACAGATATTTTTCAAGAGTTATTAACAATATATTATTGCTTATAAATAAATATATGAGACTTGTAACAAACTGGAAACAAACTGGAAGTTAAAAAATATTTTGCAATCATTATTTGAGGGGGGTAATAAAAGAGAATATTGCCATATAACACTGTACAGTTTATCAAAGACATTTATGTGCATCAGAGATCTAAAGATGAACACATTACTCTTTTCATAGGTAATATGATCTTAGTCAAAGTGAAATGCAAGATTTCAATTATCACTTAATCTACTGATGATATTTTGTTTGAAATATCGGAGATGTTCTTTGACTGACTGCATATAGATATCAATGCTCTAAGAACATTTCAAATCAGAGGACATTTTACACAGATATCAATTCTCTGAGAGCATTTTAAATGCTCTAAACACACAATATAATATATAATGTTTATAATATAATATATGAATAAGATAGAATATTATATTAATGGTGACTAGTTTGAATATTTCACATATATTAAAATATTATTATAATAGTCTTTATTTAATGGTAAAGCAATACCTAATTCTATATTTCAAGAACAGCTTCAAATTGTTCTATATTTCAAGAACAGCTTCAAATTGTTCTATATTTCAAGAACAGCTTCAAATTGTTCTATATTTCAAGAACAGCTTCAAATTGTTCTATATTTCAAGAACAGCTTCAAATTGTTCAAAATTTTGAAAGGTAGAAGATAAAGTTTCAAGTTGAGAAGAATCACTTTCTAGTTGATAAGAATTACTGTGTTCTCCTTTATAATGACAGATTTATATTCTGATAACTCCATGGATTACTTGATATGAAAAACTGTGATGAAATTAAAGAAGCAATGAAAATAAAGAATTAGGCATGGCATCCATTTATTTCACTAGATAATAGATCAGGTCAATATCCTTAAAAACTATGAACCTGTTCTACAATTCAGCTGTAAATATTTCCTACAGTTCACACTGTTTCTTTATATTATAATATCGCTCTTTTCTACTGTAGCTGAAATTTCACTCAAATTTTTCAAAATCCACAGCAAAACAACTTTTAATGCCACAAAATCACTCTTTCAAATCCCGGAAATGTGGATCATCAAAATGCATATAAACTGGTCACTCAAGTAAGCCAATTTAATTCCTTAAAAACACACGAAAGACATAAAAAATGGATCTCTGTAAAATGGTCTGTTTTAAAAACATGCAACCACACTGAAAACAGTTATGATTAAAACTGAACACAAATTCAAAACGCTTCCTTCTTAAAAATCCGAAAAATAAAACACACTGTCTTCACATTTTTAACTGTGACATCATGGTTGAGAAATCAGCTAGTCTCTGATAATCTGGGTCATCCTCACGATCATCTTTATCACTGTCTTTAAATGTGGGATTATTAGAGTTACGTGGTAAACGTAACGTACATGGTAACATCTCTGGCATGACTGTATGGTGGGTTACTAAAGCTGTTAAATTTGTCCACACTTTATCTAAACCCTGAAATTATAATAATCAAAGATGTATAAATTTTCGAACTATTTTCTTGACTATAGACACAGACACTCATTGCTCATTATCTTGGCAAGGGGGTAATGTTTAATACTAAATACCGTAGGCAAAAGGTACAATACAAGAGTTAAATGCATCAAATATTTTACTTTAAAAATTCATACCTTTAGTTTGACTCCTTTCTGTGTTTTTAATATCAAATAATGAGAAATACCATTTTGGTTTTCAAATTTAGGAACTCGAACTGAGAGTGCGAAACAACCAGGATGTGTTGTACTATCACGTACAATAAATGATCCTATTTCTTCTTGTTGTAAAATTTCTAATGCTATTTCTCTGAAAATATTAGACATTTAATTAACATTCAATTAATTTTGTTTATATTTCTGAACACAAAATTTTTCTTACTGGACACAAACTACATACACAGGAACTGAATACAAACCTACAATTCATAAGGCATTAACCTTATCTTTTTCATGTCCACTGTCTAAAGATCTTTAACGTGTACACCCTGTTGCACATGGGGCTTTGGGTCCATTTCTTTTACAAACTTTTTCCATGTCAGCCCTCTGACCTCATAGGGAGAAACCATGTTGAAAGTATTATCTCGCCCATGCCGAGATTGAAACGTTGACCTTCTTCTTAGTAAGCAAGCGTCTACCTCAGTGAACCATTTCAGCTCCCAGAAGAACTAGTAAATATTAGTAATACTAACCTTGGTATACCAGCTTGATACCACGGTGCATGGCGTAATGTTTCATCTTCTATATGACTTCTATCTAAACACATCAACGATTCCAATCTGGAAATATAAAATTACATTTACATGTATCAATCTAAATAAATTAATATCTATCTGTAATATTAGATCTAATGTCAAGATATAATATGAAACATTTGAAACATTAACAATGATGTTCTCATGAATTAATATCAAATTATATGTTCCTTCTAGGACTTAATCTGTGAGCCAAAAGTTTAGATATGCTGTGTTATATTTTGATATAAAATTTTTAAATCTTCAGTTTTAGAACCTTCTTTTTGTTAAAATGTTGACATCTGATATAATTGAATCAAAAATATCAAATTTAAACAACTTGTTTTTCTCATACAAATTTAATTTGAAAAAATCTTATGTGTTAACATCAAAGGAGTCATCTAATTGAGTTATAATTTAAATTTGACTTGGTTACATTTGATTAGTCTCAATTGGAAATCAAGATGGTAGTTTTAATTTTACACTCACACTAATCATTACTGACTATTAAAGCTACAGTGCTAATTCTAGTATATTCCTGATTTTACACTGCTTGGAATTGTAGTAGTGATTTGAAAATATTTGTGAGGCCATTCAATTTGATAAACAGATACTTATTTCTCCTCTGAAACTGAAGAGCACTTGACAACCAACTATTAACATTGATAAAAATTAAAGAGGAGGTTCAATGTTAAATCAGATGTAGGCCTATTCATAGCAAGATGCCTTGTTGTTTAATTGAAATATTTAATATCCAGAATGAAAGACAATTAGAGGAGGAATATATTGGGCTTCCAGTTTCCTCTATTGATGTTTTATATTGATAGGACAGTGTCTTTAAGTTCAAAGTAATGAGAAGTTGAAATGAGATTTGTTTAAGTAGAAAATCAATGTGGTGATAATTTGATATAGATCTACAGGATTCTAGATGGTTCCTGACTTATGACTTAGTGTAATGATGAAATTATCTGATTTTCATTAGTCAACCACCAAACATTACAATTATCTGATTATAAACATATTACTTAGTTATCTAAATAAGAAAAACAACTCAAATCAAAACAACCTTGCCAACCTGGTAGATAAAACCATTTCCAATTGGCTTGCAAATCAAGAAACTCTCCTAAAATGTATTGCTTTATAGCTAATTCTTTTCTCCTATGTTAAACTGGACTACTACTAGGCATCACGATTTAATGACTACAGTAAAAACTGTATTGAGAGACCACGCAGGAGAATATTCAAAAACAGTCTCTTACTGGAGGTGGTCTCTTTTTCATTTCTACCTTCATTGCCCAGGTATAAATAATTAATAAAATCAATGTCTTTCATACCCTTGATACAAATAAATCATTCTTAATTATCTTGAGAAAGGAACAATCTATGAATTATTTAAAGAGACCATGATCCAACATTATTTATTTTGTTTTATGTTGGATATAATTATTTTTGCTTGTTAATTTCATTACATAGTATGCAGTTTAAAATAATTCAAATTAATATTTAATGCAGTTTTCCTTTGATGCTTTGTTTGATGGATAGATAGTAATTGGTATGCATGGCTGCCACAAGTATGTATGTTTCACAGAGTGTTAACTCGTGTCTATCAATCCTGTTCTAAAGTTTAAATTGAATATTTTTTGTACATATTTGATACTGATTCCTTGAAATCATAAAATATATTAGTTGACTGTCATCATCAACCTTATATCAATATAAATTTGATGCATTCAGACTGAGTGACTAAGTTTCTGACAATTATCTGATTTTCACCCTTATGGCCAAACGGCATCTGATACATCAAAGAATTTCTATTACTTATTTCAACGACAGCAATTTGGTGTAAAATGTATATTTGAAAGAAAGTTATAATCTTGAATACCCTCTCTACTGATCTGTAGTTTAATTCATCTCAAGATGTAAATATTACCTCTCCTGATCTTTAAGCTCTATCCCATAATTCCTCATAAAACCCAGAGATCCAAGAGGTATTGACATAATGATTTATGGAGTTCAATACTAACTTGATATCTTCTGCTAAAATATGGTTTATATATTACCCTACTGTCAAATATATCTTAATGTATGGCATATATCTGGAGAATTCTAGATTTTGTAAATTTTATATCCTTAATCAAATTTTTGAAGCACCAGGCAACACCTTAATATTTGCCATTTTCTATCTGGACATTTGAGAAAATATGATGAAAAATAAATTACTTATGTTTATGTTTATCATACCAAATTGTTTTTGATCTTCTCAAAAATAATTACTTGTCAAATAGCCAAGTATTAATAAATCTATTTCATAAATATTCACAGAGAAATATCCTCTTCATTTGAACAATATTAATCAATGTTTCAATTATTTTCAATTAAAACTTTTTGCAAATCAAATATGAAACAGAAATATTATCACGATATACATTTATCAGAAATGCTACAGTGATTACCTTTTTCTAAATTTTTCAAAATATTCTTTCCAGAGAGATTCAATTTAAATATAATTTAAATAGAAGATAAAACTAAGTTGAATTTTTACTAAATAATACAGTTTACAATAGTTACCAAATAATCATTTTTAAGTGACAACAACGTTATTCATTCATAAGATAAACAAGAACTTGAATGTTCTATCAATCAAACTTAGCAGAATTCTATCAGACTATAAGTACTTTGTAAATATCCTTCAACTAATTGATAAAGTGTATGCAAATAAATTATCAATAATATTCTGAATGGGGTTCCTTTAATCATAACTTAAATAAATAAGTTTTACTACTTTGTAATATGTTTTCTATTTACACAAAGATACAAAGTAAAAATTAATAAAATGAAATAGATTGGTAACTTATTAACAGTTTATCTTCAAGGATATTAAAATGTTCATTATTGTCAACAGACATTATAGAGTTTTTCTTAGTAACAAAACTAATGATAAAGTATCTGAAATATAAACAAACTATGTATTCATCTCCATTCAAAATAATAATTTTCAAAACTAAACTGGTCTTTTTTTAGCCATTAAAAACACTTAAAATATGCATTTTCTTTATAAGTCAAAAACAAATACCGGTAGTTTCATTGCCAGGACGTCTTCATTTTCCCACCGGTTTAAAGGAAAATAGAAGTCATTGTCAGCCATTGTCATAGTCCTTGTAAAATATTCCTTCAATTTCTTTGATCAATTCTTGACAATCAATTGTTTGAAATACCTGTATTAACACTAGTCTGACCTACTCTACAGACAACTGATTTTCACATTTCAACCTATTTCCTGTATTTCTTGGTGCCTTAAAAATGTAGTATTTTACAAACTTTGGAGAAACTAAGGGACTTTTCGTTTATACAAAGAAGGAATAGAGACTATGAAGGTATATCAGAATCAAAATTTGCCTAAAAAGTTAATATGACAATTTACTTAATATACCTATCTAAATGTGCAAGGTATAGTTAAATTCTCTTATTATTTCGAGGCCATAGAAGAACCTTAATTATCTTTATCATAAACCTGTACAAAATAAACTAGTATTCTGGTTGTTAAATTCAGTTGCATATCAAAACTTGTACAGGTATTTTAATATTCAAACCATTCTTTCTATTACTGACAAATATTGTAAATATGATAAACTTGTAGATGTAGATACATTAGTTATTTATAATAGAGTATATATAAAATTCTCTCACGAAGCATTATACAGACAATACAACTAAATATATAGCAAGCTATATTAATACACCACCAAGGGGAATGTAAGTAATCCTCATGTTATTACATTGTAAGCTGCTTGTCTAAAAACCTTTATTTCAATATTGACTTCCCACTCGTCAACTTTTGTCATTAAAATTTCAAGAATGTTGTTAACCTTTCACTTAACTCACTATAAAAAGCAACAAAATCATAAATAGAATAGCGAGGAACCAAATAATAAATAGAGTAGCAAGGAACAAAATCATAAATAGAGTAGCAAGGAACAAAATATTAAATAGAGTAGCAAGGAACAAAATCATAAATAGAGTAGCAAGGAACAAAATCATAAATAGAGTAGCAAGGAACAAAATATTAAATAGAGTAGCAAGGAACAAAATCATAAATAGAGTAGCAAGGAACAAAATCATAAATAGAGTAGTAAGGAACAAAATCATAAATAGAGTAGCAAGGAACAAAATCATAAATAGAGTAGCAAGGAACAAAATATTAAATAGAGTAGAGAAGAACCTAATAATGAATAGAGTAGCGAGGAAAATGAAAGAGACATAATTCAATCTTTTGAAATTAGAACATAAGAAGGCAAAAACTGAGATAAAAAAATTTTGTAAATTCAAAAAAAATTCCAGAACATGTAAATATACATTTTTTAAGAAAACAAATGTTAACATAGTTCAAAGACATACTTAAGTCTGTAAAAATAGGTTTTTAAAAAAAATGCTGGTCAATGAACTTCCAACTGCATGGAGTTTAACTTAGTTAAATCCAAAGACAAAATAGCTGACATGAAAAGATTTACAATTGGCAGTGACAGGTATCTTATCTTTTGTATCATATTTTCTAAATACATTGCTAGAAATTTATTTATCTACTCAGTTACATTGAATTGGCAATTGCATTAATATCATTTTCATTTTAATGGTTGTTTTCAATGTGAAGACTTAAACTGTAAATTGAGATTAACATGTATGTCAAAATATTGTCTGGTGTGCCATGTTCTAATCCATATAGCGTCATGCTTAACCAGACAGACATTCTGTGAATATGTATAGAGCTGTCTAGCCCAACAAGAATGTGCTATGCAAGTTGATATTATTCATACATTATTTATCAAGTCAATGATTAAATTATTTGAAATATATATATATATATATGGTATGTTATGGATTTCGAAACAATAATTTGTGCAACAAAGAAATGGTTCAAGAGAGGAAACTTTGCTACAAAAATCTGCTTAAAATGTCGATCTAGATGATTTGCCTTGTGTTTTTTTTTTTCAGCAGAATACTAAACTTAGAATCTATAATTCAAAGAAAGTCACAATCAAAAACAGTGTCAAAAGTTGAAGTAAAAGTTTAATAATGGATATGAATCGAATGCTAGATATCTTTCAAAAGCATTTGATTGATCAAATATCTATATAGCAAATGTTTTGTATAACAATATAGTCAGATCATGGATGGGATGTGTAGTTCAACGTGGAAAAAAAACCCATGAAACTAAACATCTAGATTTGCATTTAAATCAGGTTATTGCAGAACTGTACTACCAGCTGAATATTTCACAATTCTATACACAATAATTAAGTGTATTAATTCTATCAACTGCCATTGTCCGTACATGCCTGACAATATAAGGTAAATTCTTACAGGTTGCTTTTTTTCTTAGCTCATCCAATTCCATACGTAACATTGGCAAAGCTTTGTGTAACAAACTAATATTTTATTGATTAAACTATTTGTAAGGATTTATAATAAACAATCAATATCAGAATACTGTTTCTATTGTTACCAACATATTTTATTATTGTGTTTAATCAATAAAATCATACACAAACAATATATCTCAATTACAGTTAACATGTCAAACTGTGCAAGAAAATTGCTTTCTACTCTTCTTTGATATCAACCCATGCAAAATATCAAGCTCTGTTCACACTGAGAATAAGTTTTTTTTATCTCGAAAGAATGAAAATCATTCAAATTGTATGTGTATCTCCCTACACAACTGAAATATATGTTTTAGACTAGGTAAAAGTAATTTTTCTGCAATAATAAGTTTTTATTATGTTAAATATTGAGATAGATTAGGGGTGATATTTTGAGTTAGAATTTATTCAATATATTATATTATTATGATTATAAAGTAGATAATTACTCTGCAATTATAATGAATACATGTTCAAAAAGAAAAAAACTCATAAATATAATAGTTTAAATTAATTTAATATATTTGATGGCATTTTTTTTAAACAGAAGATTAAATATTTGTTAGAAAAATAGAATTAATTCTACAAAGTTTTCCTGAAAATTACAGACAAATCTCACTAAATTTAATCATAGAAACAGAAAATCTATCCCCGTAGATGTACTTCTAGTGAGAAATTGACTGAGTTTCTAACACTGTTAATAACGACAAACTTTAAACATGACGTGTTCAAATATTAGGGCTAGAACTAAAAAAATAAAGAATTACCTGCAAAGCTCATTATGATGGCCATGTTTCTTATTATTTAGTTTTTGTTTTTTAGGCTGCATAAACCAATTAAATAGACTCATAATATCATAATAATAAGGCATTTTGTCTTCAAACACTTTTCACTTGTAGGTAGGGTATTTAACACTCCCTCTGACTTCTGTAATTCTGGATGCAACTGAATACATCAACTACATTTTCTGATAAAAAAAAATCCTCAATACTATCCTTTTTCATCACATCTTTTATCTCACAAAAATATCATAAGAACAGTTGGAAATCACCCTTCAATTTGTATTTTCAACTTATTTGATATACTTTTACACGATTATCTATTTAGGTCTTGTTTTCCAATGAATAAATCACCAATACACAAAAGTAAAGATCCTTGCAAATTGTTACATCCTCAAATTAAGGGAAGAATATTAATAATTCACAAAAATAATACTATGTGGACACTGGCAGATACTAACCACCAATAAGTTTGTCACTATCTAAATATAATATGTTGTTTGATGAAATACCTGACCCTGTGTGTGGCAGAGCACGACAAGAGTACAATGTGTGACAGGGTGAGACAGAATGGTGGAGACCAACCAGTAATAGAGATAGTTAGGTAAATCGACCTGGAGTCCTCACTATCTAGTTAGATACTCAGTATCACAATATACCTTTGATAGTTCAACTGATGCACTGCTTTGTCAATATTGATCACATTCACAATTCTTCACAAGCCTCGTTTTCAATTTGTCGTCTGCTTTAATGAAAAATTTGAATGATTTTGCGCAGATATTCCCAAAACAATTTCCTACTA